AAAGCAGCAGAACACAAACTGACCTGAATCCTCTGCGCCTTGGAAGGGGTCTGGGCAGCCCGGGTAGGAGCGGGTCCTACAGCTCCTGACAGAGAAAAGGAAGTCACTCGGATATCATGATCAAGATCGTGAAGCATTAGCAATCGCACAGGAAACAGTCACCTTGGTAACTGAGATGCTGAGAACAACCCAGAAAATCTGGCACGGGGCAGGTTTCTCTGTTAAACTGGGTTAGTTTTGCGGGGCAGACACCTGGCTGCAGCCTCACCCACAGGGCAGCGGCTTTCGCCCAGCTGACCCCACTGGGGACCACTGGCCACAGGGGCTGTGGCACCCCAGGTCCACCCTCTGGGGCCACAGTCCTGCCGAACAGCCTGTGAGGGCCCCAGCACCCACGTCACTCACCCCCACTGCCCTGCAGCCCGGTCAGGTGTCGTTCCCAGCATGGGTGAGCCCAGGCCAGTCCTGGGATGCACAGCCAAGCCGGGGGTGGCCCGTGGGGTTATATGGGGGATATGTGTGCAGGGGGCAGGTCCTGAGCCCAGACCCTGCCTGCCTCCCCCTGCCCCCGCCCACCCGCCTCATCTTTGGATGCCTCATTTAGGCGCTGGCAGCCATGCCCGAGCAGGTGACAAGCCGTGGCACCCAGCCCCTGTGACATGTCACGCTGGGGAGAGGAGCTGACAAAGGGCCCTTGTCACCGCGGGGCTTATCTCAGTGCCGCCAGGCAGGCGGGCAGGAAGCACCCCTCTCTTACATAAACCACTGACTTCAGACCCGCACGCCGACCCCATGCCCCTGCCAAAGACAACTCCTGTAACCGGGGAGTGGCATGAAGCCATGGACGCGAAGGGGATCTGCCTCCCCCGCGGCCCGCCAGGGCCAGGGAGAGCAGAGAGCAGGGCAGCCAGGAACGAATGGCCACCACTCCCCTCACGCTTACAAGGCTGCTCAGCATCCGTCTCCTCGGCCACAGCCACTGCAGCCATGTCTGCCAGGACCATGAACCCTCCTCTTGGACGTTTAATGGACCCAGGGGCCATCACTCAGAGGCATCGTTGTGCTCCAGGAGACAGCCAGGAGCTACCACCAGCCTGCCAGCAGCTCACCACGAGGCCTGCCCTGCCAGGCCATGTCCTGCAGCAACCCCTGGAGCCCCTGCTGTAGGCACAGGGGCCAAGCTGCTCACTGGGGCTGGGGGGAAACCCCCCCTGCACTCCCCCACACTGAACACATTCTGTGGCATGGCCCAGCAGCACACACAATCAATAGAAACCTACTTTCATGGAAAAATCAGGTCAATTTTTGGCTTTTGGGTTGCAGAGATTGCACAAGCTCCCACAGTGATGCAACTGCCCATCTGCCTGAGCTTTCTGGGAGGCAGAGCAGTGGCGGGGCTGCACCCCTGCCCGCAGGCACCCCTGGCCTGGGGGGAGCTGGGGATGCGGCAGGACTGTGGCAGCATCGCTCCCCAGCAACCACCACGCTGCCAGCAGACGCAGACCGGTGAGTGGAGAACCAGCAGAGGAAGGGCAGCAGGCCCTCACAAACAGCAGAGAAAACCCAAATAACGGGCAGCAACGGCAGGCAGATGATATCCAGAGGGACCAAATCAATAAACAAATGTTTACCTGGAGCACAGAAACCGCTCTGCCCCCCATGCCCGTGCTGGCTTCAGGACAAGACTGCAGCCCCTCTGCTGTGCTGCAAGCAGGTTTCACAGCCCACCTCTCCTGAAGCTCAGGCCACAGTCCCCTTTCCCTGGAGTCTCTCCTCCCCACACCGCGCTGCTGGATGCTACTGCAGGCTCCCGGGAAGGGCCCGGTGCCCCCCGGAGCTGCGACTGCTGCAGCCCAGCCAGGAGCTGTGCTCCGCAGGGCCCCACCAGCTTGAGAGGCTCTGTTGATAGCTATGCTCCCAGACACAACATCTCACTGCGGTCACACACGGGGGACTCAACGCCAAGCCCAAACACCCTGACCTTGCCCTGCGGTACAGCTGCAGACACAAACAGCAGTGGCTCAGGGTTGTTCTGTAACTTTATCTGCCTCTGACTTTGTCATCAGCAGCTGTAATGCTGCCAAGGTATCGATCCGCAGCCTGTCACAGCACTGCCCCTGCACTGGGCTTGCTGTGTTGCACTCCCCCATTGCCTGTCCCCCCACAGCCGCAGCTGGGACATCCTTTCCCAAGCACCATAAGGTGCCTGTGGCACTCAGGGGCCTCCACACAAGTGACACCCACAAGAACACAAGTACACACATGCAGGAAATCCCCAGGTAGAGAGTCCACCTGTGGCCCTTCAGGAAGAGCCCTGCTTGCCCGTGGGCTTCAGCGGGCTGGGGAGGAGGGTGCTGGCAGATACAGACACGCAAATCTAGCCCAAAGCCCAGCTGGGGCAGATTTCCCTGGCAAGCTGGCAGAGCCCTGAGGCGCAGACTGGCCTGTGCCGGGTGCTGGCCATGCTCTGGGCTTGCTCCCACCAGCAGCCACCAGCCTCACACAGTTTTGCACCACCCCGCAAAGGGGGTGTCAGCCCCGCAAAGCATCCCCCACCCCAAGCCGCTGCAGGGCTGACACATCTGCAGCTGCTGCGCCGGGGACAGGGCTGCCCTCAGCCACACCAGCCCTCGGCAGCCCCTCCACTGTGTCCCCAGGGGATGCAGTAAGAGCCAGAGCAGAGCCATGACCTCCCCTCACACCTCAACCCCCCTGTGTGCCCCACACCGCGACAGATGAGGCAGGGCCCTGCCAGGGGGACCTCCTGCAGGGCCGGGTCCCCCCGTAGCTCCTGTCACACCAGCTCAGGCAATGCCAGCATTTGGTTTCTCCTGCTCAGTTGCATTTCTCAAGGGGACACAGGGCAGAGAAGACACATCACAGGTCAAGGGCCACTTCTCGCCACAGCCTCCCATGCCCGCGGCCACAGCACTGAACCAAGCTGTGAAAACATTTCCCTGTTTGATGAGGTCTTTAGTTTTGCTTCACCTGAACGGGACACTGTGTGCTTTGTGTGCAATTCCTGAGCTTTCCTTTCACCCATGTGTCTAATTGTTTCACCGAGTCCTAGGTCAAAATGGTGCCACAGGACTCACTAGGTGGGAACATGCTGTGATAACCCTCAAGATTGCCATCTCATCAGATGACCGAATGCAGAGCAAGAGCTCTAATTGTCGTCTGGGCATAAAGACCAGAAACACACCAACAGGGTCTTGCTTTTTGCAGGCAAGGCTGGGGAGGACCATCAGTCGCAGGACTGTGAAGCTACTAAAGCCTCAGTTGCTGAGGCAAACCACGAGCTACAGGGCTCCAAGGGAGGCAGCAGCGCCAGGGGGGGGCACCACGCACCCTGTGGGCCCCCCAGCTCTGAAGGCTGTCCCACTTCCTCCAGCACTGCCTCACCTCCTTCAGTTCTGCAAGGACAAGCTGAAGCAGGAGGGAGCCCCCAGCTCTGCCTGGGGCAGGAACGGGGTTGTCCCAACAGCTCCTGGAAAACACAAGAGAGCCTTTCCCAGCCCCACAGCAGGGACCAAGCCCAGGATGGCCCCAACACAGCCAGAGCTGTGGGGGCCTGGGGCAGCCACCCCCTGCCTGCAGCCCGGCATGATCAGTTACCTGACTGTATCTGCTGGGGCAAGAGGAGAGTCCCACAGGAGAGAGCCTGCCTCGGTGCCAGCCTCAGGAGCTCTACAGCCACCACTGGGCCCCAACTGGGGCGGTGCTGCTGCCAAGAACAGGGTCTGCGCTCCCTGAGACCGGCTGAACAAGAGCAGGGCAGCTCCTGAACAGAACCAAGGATGCCCAAGGGACAGAAACTCCCTGCACTTCCTCTGGAATTGTGCTCCAGCACTGACCCACCAACTGGCTTTTGGGGCTTCCTGGCTGCCACCACCGGCACTGGCTTTGACCACGGCCACGAAGACACCCGCTGCAGTACAGGCAGGGCAGGCAGCCGGCAGTGCAGGGTTAAAGCACGGCTCTGGCCCCTCTGCTTCCCAAATCCCCCCACTGCAGGCTGCCAGCAGGTAGACTTCCCGGATGATAAAACCTCTTCCTTTCTTTCAAGAAGGCAGCACAGGATGGCAGACGTGGCTGTGGTTGTTTGTGACACAGTTTCGCCCCACTTTAGGAGAAGTCTTATCTTCCTCGGCTGGATGCCAAAGCAGGGGCGACTCACGCAAGTCAACCACTCCCAGCTCTGCCCTTGATTTTGCGAAACCTCACACCCCTGGCAGGCTGACGTCTACAAGCACCACTCGGGTGCTTACCGAAAACCCCTCACGCCTGCCATGAAGCAGCCCCGGCTCTTCCTGACACATACACCACCGCCAGTACCACCGGGAAGCCCAGGGGCTCCCCCAGCTTTGTGGGAGGGTCCTGCTGCTCCAGGAGCAGCACTGCCTCCCCGTACCAGAAACCCCGAGAGCAACACGCAGGTCGCCCTCACTGCCTGGGCGCTGGGCCTTGGCAGGGCTGGCTGTCTGCAGGCAGAGCAGTGGGGCTGGGGCTTGGCTCCGGCTTGTGGAGGCAGCGGCTGCAACCGCCCAGCCCTGGCTCAGCCCTGAGAGCCGCCGCGGTGGGCACAGCACAGACCCACTGGCAGCTTTGCCACTGTGCCCTGCTGCACTCCGAAGGAGCAGCGGTTCTCCCAGGCTGTGCCGCGTGGAACGTGGCGACCCGGCCAGGGCTGTTGGTCCCTGCAGGGTGTGCCCCATGGCCTGCAAGGCCCCACAGGGGTTACACGTGATGCCAAGCACTCAGTGTCCAGGTGTCCGGCTCAGCCTCTGTGTTAGTCATTTGCCCCCCAGCCCCGCACAAAACACCTTCGTACCGAGAGGGCGGCAACAGGCGACGGCCGGGGCCCTGCAGCCGCTGCGGCACCGGCCAGACGCGGCCAGAGGCCCCCGGCGAATCGCACCCCAGGCGGGAGGCTGGAGCCAGGCT